GGTTTAGGGTTTAGGTTTAGGCGATTCTCGGAGGTGCCTGGCTGCTGCACGTAGGAAATGTCATGGCAGCACTTTGGCTGAGCAGAGCCGCTTTTCTGGCTAGTGGCTCGTTGTATGGCGCACTGACGATTCTCAGCTTGGCTTTTCCCGGGCTGCTTTGGCAGATGCTGTGCCGACCCGGTCGACTGGTCTGGCTTCAGTACAGTGGCAACAGGAGTCTGGAAATCCTGCTTTTCATCTGCACTCCGCTGGGCTTTCCTGTGTTCGTCCATGTGGTTTCCTTTTGGGATCTCTATCGTTTAAGCCTTTTCCTTTGGAGGCTTTGTTGCAAAACCCATACCGGCCACGCTTCACCTGTGGACTTGAAGCACTGGTACATCTATGAAGCCTTCCGGGAAGACACGCGAATTTTTGGAGACGCCCCAAGGGCCTTCCTGTGCGCTGTCTCCTGGGCGAATCGGCCCCTGGGGTTTCTGGCACCTGAGACTTGGCCCTACAGCGAGGACCTCGTTGTTGCTGAAGTGGTCGCTGGTGCTTCTGCGCTGGTGTCCTGCTTGCTAGGCCTGATTCCAGCCCGGCGGCATGTGAGCCGCAANNGCACATCTTGCAGGAGAGCGAATAACATCGAAGATGTCTTCAAAACTATCTACCCGTCTGCCCCAACCCCAGCCCCCCCAGACCCATTCTTCACCATGCGCGGTGGGTGCACCAGCAAAGCAGTGCCGAAGGCACCTACTGGTCGAAAGCTCCCGCCCAAAGATGCATGCGCTAGGCTCGCTGATTCTCCTGTGAAGGCTCTCGACGAGCACCATAGTCTCGCGCAGTGGCTTCGTGGGACTCAACTATATCGTTCTTCCGTCCCTAAAACCCTAAACTCTAAACTTCATGCCCTGGAAATAGTCTTTTGGCGAGGCCAGGAGTGAGATCAGCAAGTCGGCTTGGTGACTGGTGGCAATGGACAGAAGTTCCTCGTGTTAGGCGAAAACCATGACCTTCCAGCTCACTTTACAATTCAAGGGTTTAGGGGTGTAGGGTCAGGGTNNTAGGGGTTTAGGGTTAAGGTTTACGTAATGGCTTACAGGTTTGTAAACGTGAGACTAGAAGCATGTATCGGATCGAGGCACTGCTGTTGCTTGTGACTTTCGGCCCTCCCATTCTTTGGTGTCAAAGAATGCACGGCTTAGGGTTTAGGGTTTA